TTTATGTATGGAAAATTCAAAGTTGTGCAGGAGGGAGTTAATGTTGCAGGTCTGGTTAGTCATTGAAAGGCATGCTTGTAAGCTTGTCCCTCGGCTGACATTTGAGAACTTGGATTTTGAGAGGTTTCCTGTCACCCTTACTGATAAGAATAGTTCCTTGTGACTAAACTGCAAACACTGTGATTTATGATGAAGTTCTGCTTTCCTATAAGGGTCTGGAATTTTGGCATTTGCTAGCCAGCGAGTGCTTATGTGTTTTACCTACAAAACAAAACATGAAACAGCCCCCTTCCCCAAAACAAAACCAAACCAAAAAAACAAAACCCAAAAAACAAAAAAACCACCCTTGACCACTTAGTCTCTAATGAGTTTCCCTGGCAGACAACATTCCACATATTTTGTCCCAAATAATTGCTGGGGAATTAAGGTATGTCCTGTGTGAGTCCTTTAGACTCCATTAGTCCTGGTTTCCTTTAAACTTTGCTTCCTACTGTGAGTCCTTTAGACTCCATTAGTCCTGGTTTCCTTTAAACTTTGCTTCCTACCTTCTCACTGTAATAAAACTTGACCGTGTACTATTCTTTGCTAAGTCCTGTGAGTCGTCTTTTTTTTTTTTTTTAAGATTTATTAATTTATGCATACAAGAGCTGGGCTACAGGCCAGAGATGCGGAGGGTGAGAGGATTCACCAGAGACAGAGTGGGGAACAAAACAGGCAGATTGACCAAAGTACACTGCTGAGGGGAGCAGTGGGTGAGTCAGGAGAGGTCTGCTGCGCCATGTGGCTTGCTCCCTGGCCGGCCGGGGATCGAACTCGTGCTGCATGCTGTAGAGGCTGTGGATTGCTTCATAGTGCGGTTCTTAACCCCTTGCGCCACCAGGGAGGTTCCTGTGAGTCTTCTTAATGATCACTGAACTTGGGGGTGGTCTTAGGGGAGCCCTTAACACATTTTTTTAGTGGAATTGAATCTGGTTCTTCAATATACACACAAAAATGCACTATTTGCTTACTATTCAGTTATTATCATTTTTTAGTAAAGCTTTAACATTTAGGTTTACCTCGGACTCTGACATTTACTTGGTTACTGTTTAGTTACATCCTGATGCCTATAAGGTCAAAATGAACATTTAAAACCTCTGCAACGCAAGTTTCATCCAAATGTAGTTTATATATTCCTTTGGCTGAAGAATTGAGGTTATTGGAAGGGAAGCGTGAAGAGGTGGGGAGCAAAGGAAAGGGGGGCCTAATGGGCTATGGTGGAGTATTATGGGTATTTTGGTGGTGAGTGTGGTGTGATAAACATCTGATGGGTGTGAGACTATACCTCCAAATAATATACAGTGTTATAACCCAAATGATACCGCAATGAAAAAAATACAATTAAAACAAAAACAAAAACAAAATAATAAGTAATATTATTTGTCTTATATATTCTTGACTTTCAGTAGGTGGTAGATCTGACTGAAGATTTTCAATACTCTTCTGGAATATTACAATCTATGAAAATTTATTTGTAGTTTACTTTTATTTAGTCTACATTTCTGTCAAACTTTTGTGTTCATTTCTTCATTCATTCCTCATTATTATAGTGCTCATATTTTTCTCAACAAGAATTCACTGGGTACCTATCTGGACCAGGCATTTTACTTTGGCACTGATGATTCATGGTAAACAGGACGGATACAAAACTTGCTGTCATAGACCTTCCATCTAATAGTGCTGACAGGTTTGTGATGAGTATGTGAATGTTATAGACTTTGAAGAATAATTTATGTTTGGTAGAGTTCAGCCTCAAAAAATTGGAGGATTCCCAGAGAAGCTTATCAAGACAGAAATGGTAATATACCTTCAGAGTACACTGAATACTGTTCCCTAAATCTGCCCTTAGTAGAGGCAGCATGGATGATAAGAGAGCTGTTAATTAAGAGACAGTTCAACACTGAAAGAGTGGCCTGTTCCACTGAGACTGAGTCTAAATAAATGAAGAAATGCGATTTATAAATCAGCAAAGCTATGTGCTTCCTCCCTAGGGTAAAATGTGTGTTTGTTTGTGTGTGTGTGTGTGTGTGTGTTTTCCTTTTGAAGTGCTAGACAGTGTACCTTTAAATTGATATGAGTTGTGGTAGAACAAATTATTCGACCTCTCGCTGCCTCTTCAAAATGTCCTTGTCCTAATAGCAGGAGCCTTTCACAAAAGGGGCTTTGGAAATATAATGAAGGCTACAGATGTTAAAATAAGGAGATTATCCTTGACTAGCTGTGTTCACCCAACTTACACTGGTCCTTAAAAGTAGAAAACTTTCTCTGACTGAGTAAGAGAGAGGTGAAGGAACAGGAAATCTGAAAGACTGCAATTTAATGCTTAGTTGCCTATTTTTTAAAAAGATTTATTTATCTATTTATCTATTTATCTATTTATTTATTTATTTATACATGCAAGCACTGGGTACAGTCAGGAGTGCAGGAGGGTGAGAGAATTCACCAGAGCCAGAGCGGGGAGCAGAGCAGGCAGAAGGACCGAAGCACACTGCTGAGGGGAGCAGCGGGCGGCAGGGGAAGTCTGCGCGCCATGTGGGACCCTCCTCCTGTGGCCAGGGAGCAGCTAGGGATCGAACCAGCGCTGCAGAGGCTGCGGGCAGCTTCGCAACCCAGCGCTCAACCGCTGCGCCACTGGGGAGGTCCTGCTTAGTTGCCTATTTTGAGATGTAGGAGCCAGGTGGAAGGACTAGAGGGGGCAGTCCGAAATGATAGTCAATGAGAAAATGGAAACTGAGTTGTACAACCAAAAGGAACTCATTTCAGCAAATATCCTGGATGAATTTAGAAGTGGGTTCTTCCTTAGGGACTCCAGTAAGAAAGACAAGCCTGCTGACACTTTGAGTTTAGCTCAGAGACAGATGCTTGGCTGGACTTCAAACTTGTAGAACTTGGATAAGTGGGTATTTCAAGTTGTCAAGTTTTTGATCACTTCATAGCAACAACAGACAAGCAATACAGTAGACTGGTCCTTTAATTTTTTTTTTTTTTACTTTATTTCACTTAATTTTTTGTCGAATCTATTATAATTCCCCATCCCAATCCTTTATTTTTAACTAGACAGCCATCAGCATTAAGTCTGTCACCTTTACTTCTGAGGAATATTGATAGTTGTTAAGCAGATAATTCCTGGGTTTATTTGTAACAGTACTCTTTGTATTCTCATTTACTATTAAATATCAGATTAAAGATGAACATTTCAGAATTGATTTTTATAATTGGGTAAATTAAAATTCCTTCTTAAATTTATATTTTATGGGTTTTCTTTTTTTTTTTTTTAAGATTCATTTACTTATGCATTCAAAAACTGGGGTATAGGCCAGAGGTGTGGTGTTGAAAAGATTCACCAGAGAGAGAGAGTGGGGAAGAGAACAGGCAGATTGACTGAAATACTCTGCTGAGGGAAGCAGTGGGTGAGATAGGAAAGATCTGCTGTGCCTTGTGGGTAGCTCCCTGGCTGGAGTTCAAACTCAGGCTGGAGTGGCTGCAGATGGGTTCATAGTGTTGAGACTTAAACCCTCGTGCCATCAGGGAAGCCCAATTTTATGTGTTTTCTGATAAAAGGAAATTTAATTCTCAGTTGTCTTCTTGAATAACAGAGATGTGTTAGTGTGCCAAATATCTGATCACCCCATACCAGTGAGCAGTGGAGGCTTCCTGGATATGAGTGTGAGCTCAGCCACACAGAAAGCACTGGAAGCAGCCTTGAAGCTTCTTCTGAGGGGCTCCTGAAATGCATTCCTTTTTGTTAAGGTCAAAGCTTGCTTACTCTTTATGGAACTGACATTGCATGAACAAAAGGGCAGGGCAATCATATCCTGCGCAAGCAATTTCATACAGTTGTCATTAATATGGGGAAAGTAAATGTTGGGTTTCATGCTCCCCAGACTCTAAATAAAGGAAGTTATCTAGTCCTTGGAGAATAGAAACCTGTGCTTATTTAGCACTGAGAGCTTGGTAAAGGAAAGAGTTGTCTGCCTATTCTTAAAATCTTCCCACAAGGGTTATTTGCTATTCAAAAATCTGCACAGAAATGGTTATCTTTTGATAGAACAAGAACAAGAAAGATAAGAATACCTGTCTGTTTTTATTTTCCTTCTATAATGTGGTAGTGGACAAATAATTGCATGTGGACAGAATATGTCAAGTGTTTCCGCTGAAATTCAGTACACAAGAGGCAAGAGCTTTTCTTTGGGTTGCCACTTGAAGGAAAACTTTAAGAAAAAACAAATGGCAGAACAGCTTCTCCTTTTGACCTTGAGCATGGTTTCTTTGTTTCCCAATGCTACTCATTATTCAGGTGTTAGGTTAAAGAAGAATGCCCAAAGGCAAGATGCATAATGTGAAAAATTTAATGAGAGAAAATCTGAAATTCAGCAAAATTAAACAGGTTTATTTGCTGCAAGATTTTTCAGGGCCTATAGATGCTAATAATAATATTAAACACATTGAACCCTTACTATATGCTAAACGTTCTACAATAAGTATCCACCTGTTCTCAGGGGGAAGTGGGTGGGTTGAGCTGCATCTTCTAAACTTTGTTTCCCCACTGGGTGTCCCTTATGTCTGGCTCCCCAAGAATGCATGTGTTGTGTGACTAAATTCTCAACACCCAGCTTTGTACCCCCAGGAATCTGGTATGAACCACAGTTTCTGCCCTGCTGGCCACCACTCCCTCCACTCACCCTTTGTTCCCATGAGTTGAAATTCCTTCATGTCTTTTCTGTCATGCGGAGTAGGTGTTGGTCTCTGGCAATCATCCCATATTGCAGGATCCTCCAAGTTGAGAGCCTATCTGGACTTCTCAGTTCATTCTTCTCTGAGCAAAGAGGCGAATTTCCTCTGATGCCATCTTCCCAGCTGAGATAGAGATTTGGAAACATTGAAGTGGAGAGAAAAAGATGGTGGAGAATTGAATTGGGCACTGAAGAGCAGTTTATACATTTTTTTATTTTTCATCACAGGAGAATGGCATTCCAGTAATCCCAAAGACAGGGGAATCTATCCTGGTCTCAGGGAATGAGATATACTGTGTTTACGGTGAGGATTCATCATTTTAAAATATGTGACCTTTTCTCCTAGAGGATTTCATTGCCTATCTAGTAAGTTGAGTGTGTGTGGGGTTTTATTTAAGAGTATTTTGAATAAAGAAACAGAATAAATTCTCATACATACTATGCAAATAACAATTCTTATTTTTAGGGTTATTTTGCTTCATTGAATGTACTGCCTTGACCCCCTAATCAAGTCCTAAATTTGACTCTGAATACATTATATTAAAATTAACAGCTTGTGTGAATTATCTTCTTATACTAAAAGGTTATTATTTTAAAGAATATGAGTAGGAAAAATAGCTATAAAATATATTAAAAAATACTCATCCTTATTTTAAAAAAAGGATACAGAAATGAGAACATAAATTATCATTTTTCAGTACCTCACAACCCCCACAATGATTTTTCATTCTCCCTTATGCCAAGCCACACTCCATACATACTTTACAGTACAGCTCTTGGTAGACTGTATTTTCATATTGTTGTATAACAATAATGTATCATATTGGGCCTCCCCGGTGGCGCAGCGGTTGAGCGCTGGGTTGCGATGCTGCCCGCAGCCTCTGCGGCACTGGTTCGATCCCCGGCTGCTCCCCGGCCACCGGAGGAGGGTCCCATATGGCGCGCAGACCTCTCCTGCCGCCCGCTGCTCCCCTCAGCAGTGTACTTCGGTCCTTCTGCCTGCTCTGCTCCCCGCTCTGGCTCTGGTGAATTCTCTCACCCTCCCGTGCTTCTGACTGTACCCAGTGCATGTATAAACAAAAAACAAACAAACAAATAAATAAATAACATGCCTCTATAAAAAAAAAAAAAAAAACTTAAAAAAAAAAAAAAAACAATAATGTATCATATTATTATTTATTGCCCTCCCTCTGGGAGGATTATATGTCTTTACTGGTTACTAAGTGATTTGCTGTGCTTTTTCCAGTAGGAAAGTACTTTCTACCCCATTGGAGGCAGGCTTGACCATGTTACTTGCTTTGGCTAATAGAATACAGGTGGTAGTAAAATGTGTCATGACCCAACAAAAGGTTCATTGTGTAGTCTCATTATTGCTATTCCTTTCCTCTGCCAGAAGATTAAAATAAGGCCTTTAGCCTTGATTAAAGAAGTCATGGAGCAGAACTGAAGCAAACTCTGAAGTATCATATATGAATGAGGAAGACATGTTGGGTAAGCTGTTAATATTTTTGTCATTTGTTAACATTAGTGTTATAAACCAGCGCAAGCAGAAGTTCAGTATCTACTTCTTCCACAAAACCTTTAATGGTTGCCCTAATTTATGGCTTTTAAAAAACTTTTCCAGAGACTTTAAAGTTTATAATACAAGGCTTTAAAAGTGTACATTTTTTTCTAATATTGATTTCCAATTATATTTAATGTCATTGATTTTTCCAAACATATGTACTATAAATTCCTCAAAACTTCAACTCATATTTAATACTTTAAAATTATTTCTTCTGGTCCTGGTAACATAGTAGATACTGAATAAGTAACTGGTCTTTGGCTAACATATCTACAAATATTTATTGAGGACCTACAATAGTCAGGCACTGTTGCCTTATTGGTAAGAAAAAATTAAGGGATTTAATTTTTGTGCAAGTTGGCCAGGAATGTTTGTTTGTTCTCTTAAAAGGAGGTAGTTGGTTCCTGAAAGACTTGCTTGCTGGAAGATTAAGTCACAGAGGCCCTTTGAATGATTGACTTGTTCCACATGATTATTTACCTATTCATTTGAAGTTCAGAGTATGTGGTATGGTTTTTTACATGGTAAAGTAAAACTGATGTCCTCTCTTTCAATCTTGAAAGGGAGGGAGCTCCTTGAAGCTTGTAAAATGGCTTCTGGTGAGTTAATATAGGACACCCTTCTGGAATATTGTATGATTATGAGGGAGGACCATAGTGAGGGAGGAGGGGAACCACTGTCAACTCCTTGAAATAAGATTGAATGGTATTAATCTGAGAACAGTGGTTGTCTGGGATAAATATTTCATACAAGAGTAGGCAGAGCAATATAGCTGTAAATTTTCTATTTTTTTTCTGAATAGCTAGACAAGTGTTTGACATCTGTATTATTTTCTGTACTGTAATCTCATAATATTTTGATACTGAGATAATGTCATTGAATCATTGCACAGTTAACCTTGCGAGGTTTTTTGAAGCTAACAGGCCAAAGTAATGTGAATTGATAGGTGGCATTAGCCAAGGTTAAACAGTTATTACTATTAGGTGGTACATGGACCATTTTAATGTCTGGCAAGAGGATAAAATACTATTTTTCTAGAGGGAGTATAGATGGAGTGGGATAATCTTCTCCATTCTACAATGGACTGTGTACAAAAATTTGGAAAGCCCCATCATTTCTTTATGCTCCAACTTCTTTGTCATAATAGGGTCAGTACTATTCTAACGGGGAGGTTTTCACTCTTCACTTGAAATGTTTGGCAAAATTTGAGATTCTCCCTTTTTAAAAGTTATCAGGGGCTAAAATATTTCTGTTCCAACCATCTTTTTATTGATGAATAAGCTGTGTTCCAGTGTCATTAAGTAATTTGCTTGAATTCAGATTTGGTGTAAAAATTGTGATTATAACAATACCGTTAAAAACACATTTTAGGGCTCCCTGGTGGCACAGGCGGTTGAGCACAGTGCTGGGAAGCTGTCTGCAGCCTCTGCAGTGCCGGTTCAATCCCCACCAGCAGCGGAGATACCCACATGGAGCAGCAGACCTCTCCTGCCTCGCCCGCTGCTCCCCTCAGCAGTGTATTTTGGTCGGTCTGATTGTTCTATTCTGGGCTCTGTCTCGGGTGAATCCTCTCACCCTCCCACACATCTGTCCTGTACCCTGGCTCTTGTATAAAAATAAAATAAACCCTAAAAAACACCCCACATTTTAGGTGAAGAAAATTTGCAAAACACAGGATAAAATATCAGCTCTTCAGAAGGTTATCATTGAGACTGTAGAAAGGGACCAAAATCTGTTACTTATTTAGGAGAAGGGTGCTGTGATAGGGAAGTCAACACGTTTATAATCATTGACAAGGCTGGGAACAGAGAAACAGAACAGGGAGATGACGCAGTGTGTTAAATATAGCAAATGTGTCTTCCTTATATCATGGCTCAGTCCTTTGCACTAAACTACCCAAAATTTTGTGTCATTGTCTTGGGTGAATCTGAAGAACAGATGGTATCAGAATACACAAATATGGGAGGGAAGAACAAATATGTTTAGTGATATAACTAAGATTCAAAACCAATTATCCAAACATGAATTGAAGCCCAGAGCAGTAAGTGAAAGTGAGAATAGAGCTAAGAAAAATAAATAAAACAGTCTCAAAGAATTTTCATACGTCGAGGGCTTGACGGCAGTTCAAATGGTACATACTTGGATGTTTTGTTTGCCCTTAAACTCAATGTAGTCTAGTATTCTGTCAAAAAATTAAATGCAGTCCTAAGCTGTTTTCATAGAAGTGCTGTATTTTTGTTCATAAGATATAACGGTGTAGTAGTAATCACCAATGGTCAGGCCACTGCTAAGCTGTTTCATTCCTAAGCATGACTGTTGAAAGATAATAATGAAGAATTTAAGCAGTGGTTCCTTTCAGGTTGATCCCTTTGGGATTCCCTTTCTCGGACTTACTCCTTTCAAAACCATGTCCTTTCTCCTCATGATATTAATACAGTCACAGAAAAATCACATACAACTTCTCAGGCTTTGCAGGTGCAGGTTGAGAACATTTAATGTAGAGGTGACATACAGGAAGGCAATGAGAAAGATGAGGGCTGTGAAAACCATGCCATATAAAATCAGTTGAAGGAGTTATGGGTACTTAACTTGGGAAAAGAAAGGCCCCAGGGAAACATGAAGCAGACATTATCAGAGATCACCAATTTCCATTTCTCTTCTGAAAACATGGAGGTTTGCATTTTTCAGCTCCTTTGCTGCTAAGTGGTCATTGTGAGTAGTTCTGATCAATGAACTAGGAGAAGAAAGGATGTGAATCACTTCCAGGTTGCATTATTTTATTCCTGGTCTGAGACCCTGCAGTGTTGTTATCTCTATGTGGTGGTCGGATTGTGGATTGTATTTTCTGGAAGATGCAGCTAAAAGATGGTGACTCCTCTATCAGTCTAGGTCTGTGAGTAATAGTGTGAAGTAAACTTCCTGCTAGACTTGGTAACACTGATCAGCAGTTATTCTGGGGGTAGATGTGGGATGAAGTGTGTGTGTGTGTGTGTGTGTGTGTGTGTGTGTGTAGTGTCCTGAACTCTTCTATTGCTTCACTTAGGGTAGAAATTATATGCCCATAATGACATCATACACAATTCCCATGTGGAAAATAGCAATATATATTTTGCTCTATTCTTTTGCAGGAGTATAAAAGTATAGCACATACAAATTCTTAAAAAAAAAAAAAGGTTGGTTTTAAGCAGGAGGCTTATAGACAGTGTGTGTTTCTCTCAGTTTTTGCAGATGTGTGGTGAACAGACACATGAATTTTTAATTTTTTTTTTTTGTGGGATCCTCACCAGTGGCTGGGGATCGAACTGGCGCTGCAGAGGCTGCAGCCCTCAACCGCTGCGCCACCAGGGGAGGCCCAAATTTTTGATTTTTTAAAGACTGTTTAAAATCACTACCTGCTTCCCATGAGAAGGGAAAGTTGTTTGCTACAGATCATCTCATGCCCTGTGAATAGAATTTGTAGGGCAAGACCTTCATAAGCTCTAAGGCTATTCAACAATTAGCTGAGAGCCTCCTGAGGGCTAAGGGTATTCACTGATTACATTGAAGGGAGTTGGGGGCTAGGCTAAGCTCTAATCTCATGCTAAGAGCTCTGGGTGTTTTCTCCTAAATTCTCCGAGGCCCTTTAAGTTTTTCAGGCACTTTTCTTCATAACTCATTAACCTGGTCTCGGCATTTTTGTATAATGGGTATTCATAAATGTTTATGATGAATTCTACAACATTCTTTGTATTATTATTTTTTATAATACATGTAATACATTCTCTGTAAATTTCAGAGGCAACAAATATGCTCATGACTTGGTATATGAGAAGTTTGTAGATGATAGAATAATTCATGAAAGTGCCAGGGAATACCTGGTGAGCAGTCTTTATACAGAATGCAAGTCAGTACCAGGGCTAGCATCAGACATCTTTTTCTTGTCCAGACCACTAGACTAAGTTTCTTAATATTCAGGGGAGTGAATCCATGTGAGTCATCTGATTTAGTAGCACATCATCCTTGTCCCCTCTTCTTAACATGGGAACTCTTATATCCTCTTTTGCATGACCCTCTTGTGGCCTGTTTTATTTGAGTCTTAAAATGAATGTGGAGTGATATTCCCAAGAAAATGAATCTGGCATTACTATATGTTGGCCGTTTTCATTTATATGACAAGTAAAGAAAATGAGAATCAGTGCTTCATGAAACAGGTCCTGGCTGTTTGCTAGAGTCACAAATATCACTGATGCTGCAGCGATTCCTTTGCCCAGAAATGTGAAGTAATGGAATTCTAAAAAAATAGTTCTATCCAGAGGTCATCTGCTTGAATTTAAATCCTGTGTTGTTCAACTTTCAAAATAACCATGATAGAATCAGATGTGGTTACTTGCTGGTGAAAGAGTATACTTCTTTAGAGTAAATTATGATAAATCTTATTTGCATATATGTTGGATAATGTGGATTAAAAATTAGTAGAGAATGAATATTTGCATCAGAAAAAGTGAGACATGAACAACCTGGCTGTGAGAGGCATAGAATGTCTTTCTAAAAACAGTTAACTTACCATTTCTAGATGCGTGTGTGATCTTACTCAGTCTCTCTAGCCCTCAGTACTTTCATCTGTAAAATGGAAATAAGATTTTTACCTTTTATCATACTCTGATTTTCAAAATTAAATGAGAAAATACATGTAGAGTGAGTAAAAATTTGGTATGAAGCAAGTGATCAATACTAGCTCTTTTTTGTTCCTGTTATAAAATGCCTGTGTTGGTCTGCTTGGTGGGGAGCAGTGTGGTGGTAGATGTATATCGTCCAGACTGTGAGTCAGGAGGCCAGGTTTCCTGTCCTTGCTCTACCACTACTGCTGTGTGGCTGTCGGTAAATCACTATTCCTCTTTGAACTTAGGTCACACTTTGTTTGGTTTTGCTTTGGTATGAATAAATGGAT